TTGAAAGAGGTTTTATTTCATACATCACTCAGCAGAGGGATGTTCCAGAACAAGTCAGTATTTTTGAAAGGAATTCCATCCATTTCCAGTGATATACAAACATTTTGCTAGAGGTTTGACAGGCTGTCATTTTGAAACCACTGAGCATAAAACTTGTTCCTTGTGGTCACAGGATCACCTGTGATGAACAGAATGTTAAAAAATGCTCTCCTTTTGCTATTTCAAAACCTTACAAGGGGGGCAGAGTGCAAGTCCACATCCATACAGTGGAAGCTGACAAATTTTTTCTATTTTGAAATAGGAGTGGAAAAATAGGACAATTCTGTCTTTAAATACTGTTTGTGCACATTGCTATGAGGTATTTTTGCAGTTACTTTCATGGTTTCACTGCGTATGTGGACAGAGGAAACAACTCTGATTCATCAGTTCACAAGTTAGGTGAATATTTTGAAATCTGCTAAAGTTTCCTGCTTACCATTTGTTAATTAGCAACTCAAAATTGCTGTTTCACTCTATCATGTTTCTGTGGCAGTCTCAGAAAATGAAGTTCTGTGTCCACAGACTGTGTCCTAAATGAGCAAAACTTTTTTATCCTATCTGTTACAAGAGGTAGCTAAGAAATGAGTGTTTGCATAATTAAAAAAAATTCACAACCAGAAGGTATAGAAGGATTAAGATGTGTAGGTCAGTGAGGGAGAGGACACAGTACTACATTTATTTCAACACTATGGTACCTAAAATCTTGTAGCTTAACAGCCACAGTTGCTGTGAATTGGCACTCAAGATAACTGAATGCTCAGACCAACATTATGTATGTGTTTGTGCTTTTTGACACATGTAAATATATGCCCTTATCTACACATATATTATTTAAAATGGCAGATATATATATATCCAAAATAGTTCCAGCATTGCTTTTTATAAGACCACAAATACTTAAGCAATGTGCACAATATAAACCTTCTTACTTTCATAAAGTACAAGACTACACAGATTGAATCTGTTTAGCTTTAGCTATCTATTTAGATTACTAATTAGCAAAACTAAGGTAGGCTTCCTAAAGAAAATGACGTACAGATCTCAAATGTGTTTCTAAAGTTACTGTACTTCACTGAAGTGATTAATGTAATTCTGATCTGCATTGATAAATTTCAGTTGTCACTGAGGTCAGTGAGAAAAGAGAATGTCCAGCACTGAAGGCAACGTGTCTTCATGAATTGCCATCAAAAAGCAATGTGACTTCATAAAATACCATCAATTTGAGTGCAGTTATGTTCTCTATCAGAGTATTTTATTCTCTAGGGATGATATTCTCAGTTATTCTGGAGATTCAGATCGTTTTCCAAAAATTTCCGAGCTGAGTTGAGGTCCTTTTCAATCCCTGCAGTTCTGTGATTCTGTGACTTAGGAGAATCCAGACAAGACCAAACAAGGCTCTTTTCCCTCTCCCTTCTGCACTGTTCATAACTTTGATAGTTGTTTTGAAGGCACTGTGAGGCTGGAAGGGAGAAACTTGGAATTTTTCTTGTTCCGGATTTGCACCTTTGTTTCTTGGAATTGGCTATTTAGTATAAAGGTGAAGGGGAGAATGGAAGCAACTGGCCGTGCCATGGCTGTTACAAGACTGCAGAGAATGGGGAATAATTCTGACATCTCTGATCCTGAACGTGCTTTCAATTTATGTCAAAGCTTGATGAACAACAGCATCCATGGTTTTCCATTCACTCTTTGCTACCATACACAAAAGGAGTTTGAATTTCCCTCAATGTCTCTGCTTCTCCTTACCATTGATTTCTTGTGTCACTTTAGCAACTAACATGCTTCATATTCTTTGGTTTATGGTTTGTGGACATATCCTTGCCAGGACGTAGTGCCTGAGATATGGAAGGGACAAGAAGAATGGTGCAGGCAGTGAAGAGGGTTTTTTTTTTGTTTCATTTTGTTTTAATCTGAAAGAGTGAACTTCTCATGAGGCTTCTGTGAGTGATGTTGTTCATAATAGTAATTGTGGTGGTAACTGGGTTACTGGTTAATTGTACAGAAGAAATTCTTGCCACAGAGTGTATAATCACTCAAAGGCTCCGGTTACGATGGCTCGTTGTTGAATTCAGCCTTAAAGAAATTGGTTTAAGAAAATGTATTTTACCTATGACTGGGCCAATACAAGGTTGTACATATGTCTTAGATCCTAGTCTTACTATTTGAGCTGCTGTGCACCAGTGTCATTACATTCCAAACTGTAATTCATCTTACACATGAGATTGTTTAGGTAATCAAAAGTCTGCAAGGCCAGGCCTTTTTAACCAAGGTTTTGTTTTCTTTTTTCATTAAGGATAATTAAAGAGATAGGCTGAAACTTGGGTTATTTCCCATAGGAATAGTCGATGGTGAGCAAGGCAGGTGTGGCACTACAATGTCACTGAAGCTGCAGAGTACAAATTACATGAACTCAATGTAGTCATCCTAATGCTGAGCTCTGCCAACTGTCCAGGCTAAGATCTGTCTGCAATGCTTGAGTGTCCACTTCTATCAGTTTGAGACAGAAACCCAATTTGAGACAGAAAGAAATGCATTGCAGATTTTACTTGTTTCCTTGGTTTAAAGACAACAAGGCATAAGCTAATCACATTCCCAGATATGTAGTGGCTGGATGTGGCATGCAGTCATAATTTAAAAATGCAAACCTAAATTCAAGACAGATTATTTAAGTATCTTCTTTGGCGTGGTGCATTCCTCTCAATAAACATGCTATTCTACTGATGTTAGTGCATGTCCATCCAAATTGTTCCATCATGCATGACATTAGACTAGGTTCCAGAGCCAATGAGTTTGTGGAAATATGGTCTGCAGAATTAAAATAGAAGAAGGATCAGAGCTTGTAACTTCGAAGTTACAGATTATTTAAAGTCTATTTTGATGAAAATATTCTATCCTTTAGTACCAAGATTCTTCTATAGAGCACACTTAAACATTAAGCTTTATCTCTTCACTTTCTGAGCTCTGTGCATGACAATTACTTTTCCATCCCTGTATGACCACCTATAGGTGTTAGCAAAGTCAAGAACGAGCAGGGTAGAGTAGATTTTTGGCACTCTTTGACCACTACATTTCATCTTCAAGATTCAGTTCTGGGCAAAAGTCAGAATTATTGACCAAGAAGTTAGAGTTTCATTTCCTTATTGTTTAACATCTCTTTTCAACTGCATCTCTTGTCTGCAATCAGTAATCTAGCCTCATTCTCTGGGGAGGTGACAGTGGTTTCCTCACAGACGTACCATTTCCATGTCATTTTTTTTGGCTGTAATTGCCATACTGGCTTTCAGTTACAATGATTGTATCTACTTTCGGTGGAACTTTTTTCTCCACATTTTCTATATGTATGGGAGTTTTGAAATCCATTGAACGATCTTCTGAGAATTCCTGCAGGGCTCAGTTTTCATCTTGAAGCTCATTGCCTTTGAAAGTACATAGAACCAAAAAGCAAAAATCTTCTTTATGTTCCTCCAAATCACTGGGGAAAAAAAAAGAAAAATCTACTGAGCTGTTTAAGACACCCTCCTCAGAACAGAAAAGAAAAAGGAAACTGACTTCCCTGATGTTAAACAAATGGAAGATCCCTCAAAGAGCAAGAGACCAAGAAGCCAGGTTAAAAAAATAATAATAATAAAAGTCTACATCCATTATGGTCAACTGATTTCAACTGATTTATCTGGACAGAGTGCAAAGATGTAATACTTTGCCTTTTTTATTCAAACTTGTTTCCAGATAGTTCCCATGAGTCAGAAGATGATCCTAGAGTATCTCAGATCCCTTAGAGATGTCAAGAGTTAGTTTTTCAGTTTAATGGTTTTAGCAATAAGTAGATCCAAATGTAAATAGATCTTCAAAACATGACTGGACTTGGACTTTTGGACTTGTTTTCAATTGTAGAGCTTGATTCAGAGCAGTCAATAGAAATCTACCCAGTTCATTATGAAAACCACTGATTACAACTCCTTTTGTTTAGACAAGATGTTTAAATTAGGCCTGACAAATGGGGCTTTATGGTCTGTTTCTCACCATGGACTGCAAATTGAGCACAGGATGACAAAGTTAGGTGCAGATATCTATAATGTAAGCTTCAAAAGTTAGATGAGATGAGACAGTGTTACAGAAAAGCACCAATGCTATTCATTCTGTGTCTGGATGAGGGTGGTGGATGAGTCCACTTGCCTGCTGTGTCTCTGCTGCAAGGTGGAATTGCACAGCCTTTGTTTTCTGCCCACACCCAATCTGTAAATTCAGGATTTCTCTAAAGGTAGCTTTTGTGTTTTGGACTCGCTGCAAAAATTCCTTAGCTATCAAGTAGCAATTGAAAAAAAATTCAAGAAAATATTAAGCATGAATATTAGATGGCAGGGTTGCTTTTTTTTGTTTTGTTTTTCTATTTTCTCTACCATACAAAATTTCTACTTTAATTTTGTACTGCATTTTCAGTACTTTATTTCACTGATTCGTTTCTACATTCCTTTCCCACTACTACACCTTGTGTTTTTTTCTTTTTCAATGCCCAGGGTGCTAATCCTATCTGTAGTGAGGTTATGTAGAAGTATTTGAGGGCAGGGTGCAGAAAGTGAGACACAGTTTTAATTTCTATGTTTATTCTATTTTCCCAAGGGCTTTACCTTCAGCATATTCAGAGAAAAGCCACAAACTGCCATTCCCCGTGTGTTATTAATGACCTAAACCCAGAACCCTGATTTTTCATTATGTAGCAACAAAGCCTTGGTTTAAATGAACAATTGTTCCTCTGAATCAGCATTCTCATGTTAGCTCTCTTAAGCACCCCTGAGAAACCTGCAAAGCCTTGACTGAATTGCAACAGCCTCAAATTTGTATACGGTCTCATCTCCATTAACAGCAGCAGGGTGTTCAGTCTGACAAGATGGTCTTCAGCCACATCATGCATCACTCATTTCATCCTGGGAATGTTTAACATTTTCTTTCCCCTTCCACCCTAGCACCCTCCCTCTTCCTCCCAGATGCAGCTGCAGTCCATGCACAGGACACATGCGGTGAGACTCAGCTTGTTTGCCTTTAGCTGTCTAAAGTCTCGTATTTAATCTGAGCAGTCTAGTTGTTGTCTATGGTCAAACTGGGAGACCAGGGCACCTCCATAAGACAATGCATCCTGTATGTCTTAGACACCTCTGTTGCGTAGGTCAACCTGACCTCTGGAACTGCTCAATTCTTTCTGTGATTGAGTGAGATAAAGGAGATGGTTCAAATCCTTCTTAGTCACATGTAGTTAGATGTGACCAGTTCCATTATGTCTATGCCTACAGAGATCTGAGAATCCTGCCCTAATTTGTCTAATGTTTTGATTTCCGTAGTCTCATGTATATTAATTTTTCTCTTATTTTGCTAATTTTTTTCTCCTTTCTGTTTCCTGACTCCTCTGTCTCTTCCCTCTTTTTTCCCTTTCTTTCCATCAGTGTTTCAACTTTGCTTAAAAATAAAGAAATAATAGAACAATTAAAAGTGGGGGGAAGAAAAAGAGGAAAACTTCTGTCAGTTCTGCATTCTCAAGATTTTGGGTGACTTTTTAATCTCGGTCGATGTGGAGATGATTCAAAACGAGTTAGATAAGAATTAGAAAGGAATACTAACAGCCTGATAAAATACTAGTGTTTTCCTAAACAGGTAGTTTTCCATTATGAGCCCACATGTGAATTTAACCTCATTGGCAGTAGAGTAATAGTTATTTACAGAATCAAGTCTTATTTTTTGGTAATTGCATCAGAAAAACAAATGCTGTCAAGGTAGTTATACTCACTATGATGAAAATCAAACCTTGCCATGTAAAACAGGGCATAATAAAGGAACAGGTCTTAATCAATGGAGATTGTTTTTGTTCCAGATTACCTCTGCAACTTAAGAATGTCATTGAAGAAAATATTCCACTACAGCACCCCATGACTGAGATTTTTAGAAGTGATTGTTGATTTCAGGCAGTTCCTTTTCAAGTTATGTACTGTAAAACACCTCCATGAGCTTTAGCTCTCAGCACATGCTGAGAAGCTCTCAGGTGGTCACAGTTGTTTTGATAAAATGTGTTTCAGATGAGGTTATCCAAAAATGAGACAAAAATCCATCATTGCTTTTGAAAGTCTCAGCCATAGCGAAGAGAAACTTTCTCTGAAACAGTCATCCCCACTTTCAATCAGTCTTAAATACCAATTAATGCACGGCTTGGTAAAAGATAGCAGAACTGCAGAACTTTATCACAGAAGTGATTCTGTAGAAGGAACAGTCTTTTTTGTATTTACTTTTTCAACTTTATCCAATAAAAGAGATTCTTTCAGCAGATTGAAACACAATTATTTTTTTCTGTCTGCTGAATCTTTGTGTTCCACAATACTGTACTTTTTTTTTCCACCTCTTAAGCTATGATATCTAATAATAATGTCAGTTGTTGATTGCCCCAAAGGAAAAGCAAAACCAAATCAAAAAAATCTCCATTAAATGGAAATTACTTAGAAGTGTTGACAGTGGACTGAAGCTTAAATTGTTTTCAATTTGTTTTATTTCACGGTTCAACTTATAAAGTGCTTTTTCCATCTATGTCTGAGTGAACACAAATCTTAGAGCATGCATATTAACAGAGCAGCAAAAACAGAGTTTGGTTTGTCTAAATAAAGACAGATGCTTGCCTTGTAGGCAGAGTATCTGTTGTAATCAATGGAGATTTAGTCAGGGCAGTTATTGGATCTTGTCCATCCCATCCTAAAGTGAACATCCAGAATAAGGCAGACATATCCTGACCAACAAGTGTGTACTTCTCTCTTGGCTACATGTGATGATTCTCCCTTTGATGATTCTCCATGGAACAAGAATGTCGAGCTCACCTAGACATCCGACCTTCCTTGAGGTGAATTCCACCAAAGCAACCATAGATTGAGAACAAAACAAGCAAGAATAACGCCCCTGTAAATGTCAATAACAAATTCCTGTTTTCAATTCTCATTTGGTCTGTCATAACAGCTGGGAAATATCTTTCCCTCACATCCTTCACAGTGTTTTCCCATGTTGTTCCAAGATTACCCTTCTTAGCAGCTGAGTCAGATTAGCTTCTATCTGGCTAACTTTAAATGTAAATATTCCATACTCCATAGTAGCCTTTTCTAGAGCGCAGCATGCTAGGTCATAGTCCTGGTCCATACTGTGTGAGCCTGCTGCTTTTATCACCCCAACTCTCTTAGAGTGTGAGACAAAAATAAGAGGTACCTCTGAATCAGCAGTGAGACAGTTTGCATCCTGAGCTCATACGTCAAGAAAGCTGGGCAAAGAAGTGCTGTGATGCCCTCAGCTAAGTGTCTTAAAAAGAGATTCATACCACCATGAGTACCTATGCGTGAAAATGAAGAGCAGCTGATCTAACTTCACCTTAGATTAGTTTCCATCCTACAAGTTTGTTATATTTTAATGTTCTCCACAAGCGTGCAGTCAACTTTCATTTAATATATTGTTCTGTTACCCTCTGTACACTACTGGACAGCAAAGGCCGTGTGTATTTTGGACATGTAACACTGCCCGCCTGCCTCCAGGTTGTTCCATCTTTGATTTGTCTGTGAGTCAGCGCATCTCAGTTGCCAGTGCATTTTATTTTCACATTGATTTGTTTCTTTTTCGCTTTGTCAAGCAGCTGGTTTGTGCTGTAATTCCATCCTGTCGTGTCCGCTTTCCATCTTTGTGATTTGTCTCATGAAATATGTTGAAAGTGACCTACCTTGGCCTGTTCACAATATGCTGAAAAAAATGCTAATTTTGTCATATTTAGCAGCTGCGTTCAGAAATGCTACTGTAAGCCTAAGAGGGCTAACCAGCACTCTTGCAAGATGTCAGAACTATCAACCATTACCCTGTAAGTGTACTCAATCCTGTGACATTACTGTGTTTGTATGACGCATGTTGCAAGTAAATGATTTGATATGAGCAGAGTGGTAGTAACTGGAGAGCAAGCACTCCTTTGGTTCTTGTTGCATGTAGAATTTTTTGTTACACTGTGCTTTTGCTGATGCACCATGATCAAGGATTTTAAGGCTTTTTTTTTTTTTTTCTTTTTTTTAAATTTTGTGATGATCTCTGATGCTTCTTATGGATAGTGCCTGTATAGAAACTATTAATAGTTGCTCTTTATTATACAGGAAAATGTTGATCTCTGGTCATACTGAGAGGAAATGTTTCACCCAAAGTTTTCTAGACAACGTGGGTAGAGCAGGATTGATTGAATCAGACTCTCACCTGGAAAACAGCTTATTTTTGTGGAATGGAGTGAGGCTTTGACAGTATACACCCAGAAATGAAGATAAACTATGGTTAACTGAATATTAACTTAATACACTAACTTGACATGCAGTGTCTAGTCAGAGGTCATTGCAGAGATTTGCCTAAGGAGGGTAAGGCAGCCATAAAAGTGAAAAAATGCATTAGTTTGGAGGCAAGAATTAATCACTTTCTCATTGTGCATCTTACTCTCTGTTACTTGTGCCAGAAGCCACAGGACTCATTTAGATGAGATGGGTACCTTCCAGAAATCTCTTACATTGTGTGCTTTGCGATGGATGTCCTCCTGAATTCTACTGCAGGCTTATGAATGCAGAGCAGCAACTCAGGGATCTCCTGCTGCAGTGATCCACAAGGACAGCATTTCTCTGAAGAACAGAATTTGCTGACATCTTTAAGGAAAAAGATATATTTGATAACTTGTAGCTGCTTAATTTTATTAGTCTACCCACTAACAAAGCCCGTTCTAAGCATGAAAGCGGGCATTTGCTGTTTATGATTTTCCACCTCCTCAAGATAGTTAAGAAATGGATCAGTGAAGATGATGAAAAGATTCGGTCAACGATCTGATAGTGTGCGAAAGCAAAGAAAAGAAGTAAGAACTAACAGACAAGCAGTCAGCAGGTGCATTTTCTTCAGGGAGAGAAGCTTGAATCTAACAGAAGCAGTGCTAAAAATAGGAGGTACATTCAGGAGGAGATACTTTTAAATATAAATTTCATCACTTAATCTGCATCACGATGCAATTTTAAGCTTCATGTTGGGCCTTTGCAGGGCAACAAACTTCATGTGAAGAAGGACTGACAGCTCTCTGAGGTGGAATTCTCTACCTGATGAACAGCAGGAGGAGTTCAGCCTATACAGAAGGCCAGAAAAAACTCTGCCCTTCTCATAAACACAATTAAATCATCTTTTTCATACCCCAAAATGAAAATTTCCATAACCCTCTACTACTTCTCAAGCCCTTGGGCTGAAGATGTGATTTATGCATGCAAGAATTAAATCACAATCAATATGTTTAGATGTTTCCTCAGATATTAAAAAGTCAGGTAGATGTAATTAAGCTTCCAGATGGGACACATATCTGTCAGGGAGGATCCTAAAGTTCTTGAAAGTCACTTTAACCGATCTTATCATTCTTTAGATAAAGTAGATACTCTGGTTTATTAAACAGGAGATCTCCTAAGCATAATACAAACAATGGCATCCTGTATCTTCATGTTTTGTTCTTTATCTTTCTATTTGAAACACTCTTGCTAGAAATTTTGTATGTATTCATCACCAAGTTAGCACCAAAGTTATAGAACTCTTCTAATTTAAACATTACAAGTCAACGTATCACAATTTATGTCACAAACTCAGTCTAGATCCCCTTTATAGTGAGTGGAGAAATATAGGGTGGGATATTTTAAGGCCTTGAGATAATTCATCCATACAGATAGGTGCCTGTTCCTCTTTACTGACAGTAAGGGGAAAGCAAGTGTAGAATTAATTTACCTAAAAATATTAAATAACTTTAATAGATAAATTCTGATAAATAGAGGTATTCAATATATATCAGTGGAATTTATAGCAGGAGTTGATACTTAAAGAGATATCTATAACAGACAAGAACTATGCCTTGGAAGTGCATTATTCCTCCGCATAGGCCTTAAAGACATTACATTAATAATTTAAACACGGAGATCAATTTTGTGTGCGACCAAACCTTTCTGTCACAAACCTTGTACAACATGACCACCACAAGCCTTCATTTCACCACTCCAAAAGCTTATGTTTGGCCAGATTAATTCCACTGAAGGCATAGCACTTAAACCAGACAGTTCTTACTTCCCAAATAGCATAAGTACATAGTCCTTCTTCAGAGGCTGTGGTTTTAAAGATATTTTACTTCTTTTCAAAGTCTGTGACTGACTCAATGTTTTGAACTCAAAATTAGCCCAATGGAAGCACCTCCAGTCCCAGTAGAAGTGGCACAAGACACAGATTCAGTGTGATGGGAATATCTGGAGAGTTTGCTCTGAGCTATACTTTTCTCCATCTCAGTGATGGAAACAAGACTAAAACCACAGATCTCCTCACACAATCACTTCTGGAGCTACAGGTCCCCCTGGTGTAGAAGACTCGTATTTTCTCATAGCTGCCTTCATTCATGCTAGATAGCATCCACATATCCAAACCAGATTTTCTTACAGTTGTATCTACAGCTGTGAATTTGAGATATACATTTGTTGTGTCACATTCATAGAGGCTGGAAGAAGCTATTCAGACTCATTGGTGCCTGTTTCCTATTGTGCAGTGTCTCAAAGTATTTATTTTGTTCATCTGAGGCATAGTTTCTGCATTCATATGGATCTCAGTAACAGTAATTACTACATTCATTTAGATCATAACATCATAACTAAGTCTTCTAAAATAGGGCTTTAAAATGTGGAGTAGGAACAATCTACAACACTTAGTAGAAATCACTGGCAATTCTGGTCTACAATCCAATATGAAATGAGTTCTCACTTCCAATTTCCAGTTCATTCCTAGTTGTGTCCTATGTAACATCCATAGACTCTTCCGCAGTCCCCTGAAAAAGTGTGGACTGGTAATGGCAGACTAAATGCATGGGTCCTCCAGAGACAGGTCAAAGTTAGATGACCTTTCTATTTTCTCTTTCTTTTACTATAAAGATACCTTTTTGTACCATTGCCTGTGACTTTTTGGACTAATGTTCTATTGGAATGTACTTTTCATACTATTGGAGAGAGTCTAATTCGTAAGAAGCTCTTTAGGATGGATGAAAAAATAGAGCGCCCACCTCAACAAAAATTGCAATATACCTTTTTTTTAATTATTATTTTCTTTAATAAGTAACTATGAAACATTCCTCAGCCTACTGGAATGTAAACAAAGCTTTTTCCACACCTCTGGAGAACACAACTCTTCCAAACGTTTCCCTTTAAACCCCACTGAATGATTATTGTCCTCACCACTTTCAGTCTATCCCCCAGGCTCCTTCCTTGTCTGAAAGAATACAGGAAGAGGATGCCAGTCAGGAGGATGCCATCCTCCTGTTGCACTCCTGAGAATTTTGTTGTATCTTTAACATCCTCATTTCACCATTGTATGCAAATTTACTCATCTCACAGCGGTTGCTTTAATTCTGTTTTCTTTCTAATGCTCTTCGAAAAACACAGTTCAGCAGCAGCAGCACAGCCTCCAGTAACATCTCAGTTTTTTCTTGTTATTAAAGTCTTCTTTTCCTTTTGATGAACCACAGAATCACAGAATGATGGATCTTAATCATCTGCAAATTTCGGGTCGTGCTACTTCTTACATTTTATGTATTTTCTTCATGACTTCTGTGACGCTGTGGAAGACTACATCGGAAACAAGTTGATGATGACACTGTATTTCAAGATCCTACAAACTAATTCTATGACTAATCTGATAGAATTAATGCCATAAAACTGACTATAGAAAGAGCTTTCCTCTGCATCTTTCCCAAAATGAGCCCCCTATGGCTGCAGAGAGAGAAGCCTTACTAACTCACAATAATGTTGTGATGTTTGAATCGAAGCATCATTTATCCTTTTATTGTTGTAATTAATTCTGAACTGAAAGTGTAATAGACTTTGAAAGAGAATGCTTATTTATTCAGTTTACTACCTCCATTCTATTTCTTTGTGTTCCATAACTACTTTAAGATGCTGTTATATTCTTTACATTCTTTATGGAGATGGCATTCTATAATCTTTTTCACAGTGTTAGCATTCCTTTTCGTTAATCTGATTGCACGTTCATGGAGTGTGAGGTCTGGAAGAGACCTTGAAAGGTTTTTCAGTCTGTTGCTCTGGTTTACTCCCGTGTAACATATTTCAGAGGGCAACAAAGATGGAGACTCTGTATGTCAACTCACTGCAATGTTTTCTTTTTTCTCTTGTTAAAAAGCTTTTGGCCAACATCTAATGTGATAATGTGTGAGAACTGTGCTCTCCTGTTTATGGGGTCTTTCACCCAGACTTGACATTTGGTCTGCATCTGACTGAGGCATCATTAGTGTTTAGTGCCATCCTGGTGCAAGGTCTGCGATATGCTTTTTGTCATCAGTGCCCAAATTATGACTGAGGGACACTGGCAATGAACTGATGTCCCATTTCTAGTATTGGGTGTAACAGGAGACGTTATCAGAATTCTTGGAGATATTCTCTTCATATGAAAAGTGCATAATTTTTAGGATAATTTAAAGCATGTAATGATCCAATTCAAATCAGTCTGCAATGTACCCCGTACATGTAAGTAAATGGAATATTTGAATTTGAAAATATGTGGAGCACTTCTGAGGGTCTTTCTGGCTTCTTAGATTTCCTTGTCCTCCATAAAGCTCCTTAACTGCCTTGAAGAAAATCAATATTTTTTATTATTGTTTTGTGGTAGTAGTTTGAATCCTGTACCAAGATTAATTTCTTCATGAAGAAAGAAATCCCTGCTTACAATAATACAAATCAAAATAACAGTAGAGAGTATAACACATTACTAATTTACTGTAATTGTACCAGTACGAGGAAGTGGGAGCAAACTACAGTGTGTGTGAAATCACTATTAGGGAACAAATGGGAATGCTGAATATTTGTTTGTATAATTATACGGCGTATTTATTTCCCGGAAGGGAAGCAATGAAATAGTTTCTGTGTTTTCTGCTTTAATTAAAGCTCAAGCTGTTCATTACAAGGCTGCATTAAAGTTCTTTCACTCTGTTGTAACAGGAGATTGGCTCGCTCTACACTACTGCTTATCCCCTTGTTTGGAATTCACTACACGGTGTTTGCTTTTTCTCCGGAAAATGTCAGTAAGCGGGAGAGACTAGTGTTTGAATTGGGACTGGGATCTTTCCAGGTGATTATACAGTGAATTCTGCTTTTGTTAAGAAAGATCTGTCTGTTCATTACTCTGGCTTTGGATGCATAGTTCTCAGACTGCCTGTTTATTCACTTATATGTATGCTTCGTTTTGTTTGTTTATTAAACTCCAGCTGTTATCCAGTATTTCCTGAAGGGTTTGAATTAGTTTTTCTTTTCTCTCCCATTTACCTAGGGTTTTGTTGTTGCTGTTCTCTATTGTTTCTTGAACGGGGAGGTAAGACTTTTAATATTTAACCTCCGTCATCCCACCATCTCTATTTCCATCCCCATCCCATTTCCTTGTGGGACTAACTGTTGTTGTAATCCTTTCTTGTAAATCACCATCTACATATTCTTTCATATCTTAGTATGAATTTCACAGTGCCTCGGCAAAAGAAGGAGGATGCATGATGTCTTTATCAAACCAAAACATTGGCCTTGCCAAGCTCAGATTAATGCTTCCTAATGGAGGCAATTACTTTGTTAAGTGGCTTGTTTCCCAGGAGTCCTGCAGTCAACAGAAACGCCTTGAAAGAGAAACTCAGGTCTTAGCTGCGCTGACTCTCTCTGCAGATGCTTGTGTCTTCTGATTAACTACACAAATATCCATAAATGAGGAGGTTCCTAACTTAGTCATCTTACTTAAATGGTTAATGCTAAGAGAAATTAATCCTGGCCAATCTGACCATGCTAATAAGCCACTTAGACCTCTTCTCACAAAAAAATGAAGATTGAGCACTTTGTGTCACCTGACAAACTCTTTTATCACATCTACAAGTAAAGGTTAATGTAGTTTTTGTATGCAGTCTTTCTTTATTGACCAACTTCACAAAGTTATCAATTTGCCCATACTGAAAGGAAGTATTTGTCCCTGAAACCAAGTCTAATGCTGCTTTTCATTGTTCTGCTATTCACACGATACACTTCTTATATAATCATAGAATATCCTGTCTTGGAAGGGACACACAAGGATCATCCAGTCCATTGTGTGGCTCCCCACAGAACTACATGAAAAATAAACCATATGTTTGAGAGTATTGTCCAAACACTTCTTGAACTCCACCAGGCTTGGTGCTATTTGGAAAATTAGATCACTATTATTTTTAGTAATGAAGTAGTGATGAAGGCTTAGGAAACCTTAAAGTTCTAGAATGGCATTCAGGAGCAATTAAGTGTAGAAGTATTCAACAACTAACTTTGGGATAACAGCTGTGTGCTCTCTTTGTAATGTACATAGAGAAAAAACAACTTCTAGAAGACTCTGTCTCGTTCCATAGTGGTATTTAAATCAGATTAAACTAATAGTCTTCCCGGGATGTGTGTTTATCTATAAATTGACTAGTTCCTTGCTTAAACTTCTAACATCTGACCATCTAAATTAAAAAAAAGAAAAAGAAAAAAGATAAATCAAGCTCCAGACACTCTATCTTGCCTTCATTCCATGGAGTTCCACTAGCTGATATTGTCTATTTTCATTCTGTAGTACTATAAAGCACTACAGCTGTAGAAGATAACTGGGAGTGCTGCTTGTCATGGCTTCTCACATTACATATTCCCTTCTAATGGTGTTTGCTGTACTCTGAAAAACTTGACTAAGAAGAATCTGCCATGATGAGTGGAGATATGAAAACCTTTTTTTTTTATTTTGCATATAACAGGCCAACACTATGTCTTTATCTTCCTATAGGGCCAAAGAGTTAAGTTTAGGACAATATTACATACTATATTGAACTACAGTTTAAAGTATGTTTGTGAAGAGTTCTCCATCTTTGCATTTCTGAAAGCCTGAAGCTGTTTCTTGTTGAATCCGTGTTTGTGTGCATGTATTTGTGTATATTTGTGCCAGTTCTAATTAGACCTAATTTCTGATTCACCTGTTCTGATTTGCAAATTGAAATTATCCTGACTTTGTTTATTGAACTAAATGAATGAGGCAAATCTTTTCTCCATTAGTGGAAATAGACTTCCTACTCAATTCTGCCTAAAAGGGAATACGTACTGTTCATCCAGTCTTTGTTTCACGGATTCAGATTTATTGTGCAGTCCAGCAGGAATAAAACCACCTTCTATTTTTCTATTTAGGAGGACTGGGATCAATTATTGTACCAATTTCATTGCAGTAGATATTCCATGTTTATTCTGATACAGTGTGTAATAACTGGTCTCTAGCTCAGTGGGATTCTAACTTCTTTATCCAAGAGATTCCTTCTCAGATGAAAACAACAATCTTCTCGAGTTCAGCAAACATATGTATAGTTTATCTTTGCTCATGGGCATAGTCAGGAAGACCACGAAAGGACTTGTAGATGTGCACTGTTCGTGGCTCCATGTAGCTCAGAAGGTGTGCTCTGAATCACATGTTCCTACAGTTCCTCTGGTGGCTGCATTCATATTCCATCAGCTGGCAGTACTGGATATCTGTCTCTTCTGCCTAAATCTCTTGTTTTGTGTATTATCTCTCATGAACGCTCAAAGAATACCCAGAAGGTCTGGTCTTAAACTAACCTTGACATAAGAACATTTCAAAGATCCTGCATGGTGCGTCGATGTTCTTTTAACCTCTGTGGTTTATTCTTTTTTGTCCTTTTGGTTTGGTTTGGAGAAGTGGTACTTAACCAAACTAACCCAGATAGATACTTCCATAATCTATCTAATCTATTCCTATCTATACAATAACTACAAAAAAAAAAAGAAAATTAAAAGTACTAGAAAGAGAATATAAGTTTTCCAGTTGGATTTTTCCTCCTTGCAGTTAATGCCCATACTGTTAAAGCACTTGTGCAGCACATTGGAATGTGCTGATCCATTATAACAACTGTATTAGTCTACAAAAATCTAGCAATTTCTGCTAAAGGGAAAAAGAAGTTTTGATACACAAGCTCATTGAAGGCTGGAAAAAAATGTTAGGAGGATATCTCCACATTTGTCAGTTCTTACGTTATTTCCTTCTTAAATATGCTATAGGATACTGTTGGAAGTGAGTTACCAAATGAGTAAATGTTGGCCCAAGCCAGTACAATCTTTCTTATGTTAAGTCCTTATTATCTTCTGTACTACGTACATGTGTTCACCTAGAAAGATCACCAGGAAATCAGTGATAAATGAAAAGCAGAAAGATTATCAAAGTGTTTATTAATTTTTTGTTCTTATTTTTATTAATTTCCTAACTGGATATCTGAACACAAATTACTGTGTATGATTTATGGTGCACATTAAAAAAAACTCCAGGGAAAGGAATATTTCATAGATGTACATGGACCCAAGAGCTGTTATCTAGTTAGAGTTGAGCTGAACACAGCAGGCAAAGTTTTCGGTAGACATGCATCTGTTAACTGCAGGTGAGAGACCTTTCTGGACAGGTTATTTGATTACTGTCCATCACCTTTGGCTCTTTGCTACGTGCTCGCCGCTGGCCACTGATGAAAATGAGATATTTTTTTTCAGAAAGCTAACTCAAAAACCATGTTTGGGTTAGTACCAAGCACATCTTCTAAGCACCTATGGGCTGATCCCAAGTTATCTGAAGTCAGAAACTCAGAAGCCAGGGTGCTTTCCTCACGTCATGCCTGGCACTCTTTCAGACATGCAGAAATCACTGTAGGTTTCTCTGAAGTAAGGAGTTTAATAATAGCCTTCAAAATTGCTCTTTTTTTTTCTTTTTTTTTTCTGAACTTGATAACTTGTCAGCATGTCCTCGAGCGGCTAAGTACATAAAAAATGACCTTTTGAAGTTTCTCCCTAAAGGTGCAATCAGAAATAAAGAGAAAATGGAGGAGCTGGAAAGTCAACCGGTATTTTGCTGTGGATTTCAAACATCGTCATCCTTCTCTAGCGAGCAGCGGAGTGAACGGGGGGACACAACTCTCCATTCTGAGCAAGAGCAGCTCTCAGATTCGGATGTCCAGCATAAATGCGGAGAATCTAGCGACATGAGCAGCTAAGGAAAACAAATCAATCAACAAGCAAACCAAAAACCATCACTTTAAAAAGAAAACAAAAAAAAAAACAACATCATTTTGGTGGTGGTGTAGGCTTCCTTCCCTTCCCTTCCCTTCCCTTCCCTTCCCTTCCCTTCCCTTCCCTTCCCTTCCCTTCCCTTCCCTTCCCTTCCCTTCCCTTCCCTTCCCTTCCCTTCCCTTCCCTTCCCTTCCCTTCCCTTCCCTTCCCTTCCCTTCCCTTCCCTTCCCTTCCCTTCCCTTCCCTTCCCCTTTCCTCTCCCTTCCCTTCCTTCTTCCTTCCCTTCCCCTCACCTCCCTTCCCTCTCCCTTTCCCTTTCCTTACCTCCAGAACATTCTTGATGTTTGTAGAGGTGAAAAAAGTGAAGGAAGTGTATATACGTATCTTTTTAACAATCAGTGTAAATACACAACTGTACTCGATGCCATTAATGGAAAAATATTTAAAAGATAAAAACAGGCCAAGCCCACTTGCTCAGTGATATACATTTCAGAGCATCTGCAAGTAATCCGTTGTCAGTCAAAAGTAACAAGTGATTGCTGTGCAGTTTTGATCTTTGGTTGCCAAACCGATCCTAATTCATGAATGGACATAATGGTTATTTTTCAAACTGATTTTCATTTAGTTTTGTATTTGCATTCTTTTTCTTCTAGTCGAACGTATCTTAGCCCATCATCTGACTTTTGGCATGTGAATTTCCGCAGTGTTTCTTTTTTGAGTCTTAGGATGGAGCTAACATGTGTGAGTTAATCATACCAGCCAGTTCAGGAAGAACACCAGAACATTAACTTCGTGGTTGGATTCAGTCAGATGTACTCAGTGGGCTTAAAGGAACTGCTGTGCCAATGTAAAGCTGTACAGCTGTCATCAGTCAATGGGGAACTCCAGGCAAGACCAATGGGATCAGCTGACTTTTTCCATACCCAAGGATGCTTCTGAGAATGCTTTATGTTCTAGCTAAGCTGTGAGTTTTCTAAAAGGGCCATGTAGTTGAGATATATCTATATTTTTGGCAATGGTTGACTGAGAGTTGATTGATGGATTGACTGAATTATTTGAATAATAAAAATAACCCTTCCTTCCCACCTTAAGAACAAAAGTCAGTTCCAAGACAGCGTTTCCCTCCAGATAACCGTGAACCTTTTGCATCCATGTCCAAACACAGCATGTTTTTGTGTAGTACTGTCACGCGTCGTGGTGCCTTTGCAACCTGGCTGACTTCTCCGTGTCCTGGTTCTTCTCTGCTAGAGGCACGAGAGGGATCTGGCACAGTCATCCTGGAAGGTAACAGTCTGCTTTTGCTGAGCAATCAAACTGAACAGTGAAACGCTGTGGAAAGAAAGGATGAAGCCTTTGGATGACTTCCCACATCTGACGTTTTTCTCTCTCTTTGGATAATTTGTTTTAACATTGATGTTCTTACTGTTTCTCTTTGAAAACCTAAAACATTCTTTCCAACTTTGCCTTGTAGTTAAAGCCACGACTGGTGCACATCTACTTCAGTCAAATGTTGATGATGTCAATTCTTAACGAGTCTTTATACAGCTCATAAAGGCTTTGATAACCGTACTAGCTCTCTCTTCATTTTGGATTTATGAACTGATATATATATCTATATATGTGTGTGTGTGTGTGCGTGTGTGTGTGTGCATATATTAAAAAAAAATGAAAATGACATTTTAAATGTGAAGGTATGAACTGGAACTAATAGTAACCAGGGAATTTAAAATTCAGGCTTGTTCTTTGGAGCTTGATCATGGGAAAAACGGAAAAAAAAAAAAGAAAAAAAAAAGGAAAAGCGAATGGTTACTATGTGCTGGAGTTTTAATTTCACTGGTTTTTGTTAGTTTGGGTAAAAATGAAGTTTTAATGTCATTTTAAGTACAGGTTTCTAAGAATAACAATAGTTTCCTTATTTTTTTAACAGGAAAAAAAAGGTCAGAAAGTTGCAAAAGAAGTGTTAATTATAATACTTAACTCTTACATAGTGCTTTAAGGGACATACTCTGCTCTTGGTTGTAGCAGAGTAAATGAATGTAAAAATAATTTGAAACAGGCAGAAGTGTTGAGATTGACTTCACGTCAGTACAGGATCATACTCCTTTAAGACATTTGTGTTCCAGTCAAATGCAATCTACCCTGGCACAGAGGACCAGCAAAAAAGTTTAAATCGCTTTACTTACACCTAAATGGGAGTTAGATGGTACAAATACCTTTTCTGCAAGTCTTGCTGCTCTGAGAGCAGAATCATTCCCCCTCTTCCAGACCATGTGCAAAAAATCTCTGAAGTATTTTCGCTGACAGATCAGAGTTTCCTGTCCCATTAGATTCTGCTAAAAGCTATGTGATAGAGTTCTCCAAGGAACTCTTTGCATGCCAGAAGGACACTGAAGAGGAAGAATGGCGAAGTCGGATCTATCAGGTAAATGAATATTTGGGACTTGGGAAATGAATTATCTAACATTAGATGAGCATATAATATTTAGTTTCGTATTTTCTGTAGTACGGCCTTTCACTTAAGAGTTACATTGACAATATTGTGAGTATATTATTAAAAAAAAAACAAAAACCCTGGAAGTATTTTGCATGAATAGCTGGTGGCTAATTTTCAAGCATTCATAAATTCAAAACTTTTTTGGGGGGAAAAAAAAAAAAGAAATAACTCTGAAATGTCTCTAGCTGGAGAATTTTTCCACGTTTCAGTCCAGAGTAAGAATGTGTATTTTATAATTTTCATTTTGAGTTTTATTTGACTTTGTTTTATATTATTTTATTTGATGGAGGCTTTTTCTGAGCTTCCTTTTAGATTCTGCTGTTTTCCTTCCTGTTCTACAGTGCTCTGAAATTTGAGTTGGTGGATCTCAGTCCAGTGCCTTATGGGCATGTGTCCACAACACCAAAACCACCTTTCAGTCATGCACAATGGAGACCAGGTCCTCAGCTATGTTAGAATCAGTACAGAAAAACACATTGCTATTGTTAGAACACAGCCACTTCAATTTGGCTTGGAGTTTGGCTTCAGCACAGTATTACTGCTGTTATCATTGTTTTTGCATTCTCAGCAGGAGAGGCCAAGAACTGAATAGTCCCAAAGACTTGGACTTGCCTATTACAGAGCTATGCTCTGGAGCAAGGAGAGTTGGAGGGCAGTGGAGAGGAAATTTCTGCCGTTGCAATCCCTGTGTTTACTGTTCATTGGACAAATTGAAGTCCTTGGTACATTTCACCAGCACTGAATTTATGAGAAGAACTAATATATCTCTACATATCTAATATATAATATATAACATATGTATATTATACAAACAACCCCTTCTATTATGATTTCTTTTTATTGAAAGTATTGATATGCTTGCAAAAACTGTTCATAGAATCATAGGATGTCCTGGGTTGAAAAAGACATCAAAGATCATCTAGTTTCAACCCCACTGCCATGGGCAGGATCGCCAGCCACCAGACCAGGCTGCCCAGAGCCACATCCAGCCTGGCCTTGTTCCCCTTAGTCAGTCTGACTTTTTCATTGTTACTGGAAAGATCACTCTTCAAATGTACAGAGTTATCTAAACCAGGTTCTGATGCCATCGCACAAATTGCTCTCTCAGAAATCTTTCTGTTGAATGTAAGCTGAAATGTTGGACGTGTGCAGCCATCTCTCACTGTGGCTGCAATGTCTCTTCATTCCAGAATGGAAGAAACCCAAAGCTGGTTTGCTTCTAGGTGTCTGTAAATATCGATTGAGTGCAACAGTGCTTTGTTTGATTTTCACTGTGAAATATATTTTGGAGCTAGAAAGGCATATGTTATTAACAGTATGTAATTAAAAGAGAAACAAAAGTGTGCAGTGCTCCTTGAGCCATTTTTTCTACCATGTCCATAATGTATATCTAGTCTAATTTTCTCCATTTTTGTAACTGTTCAAAAGCCTGCTGTACTGCATCTTTTGTGAGTATTTACTGTTTTATTATTGACTTTTTGATGTGGAGTGCTGATATGACACAACAATTAACATCCCTAAATGAAAACTAAGATGTGTGTTTCAAAGGCTTGTTTCCTTGTTGCCTGGTGACCTCAGCTCTTTCTGCTTTCACCTGTATGTGTTCAGTTGTGGGTGTGCTTTTATCTCATGCAAGGAATGTACCCAAGCTACTCTGTTTTGTGTAAGTATCTTAAAAACAAGTGTTAAAATGTGGTGGAAAAAGGAAGAAAAAAGCAAGCAGATAAATTCACGTGTTGTATTTGGTGTCCACCTCCTCCTTCTCAGCATCTGTTCATCACAGAAACAAAAGAACCAAGTGTGGCAACCACATAATTAGTTCTATTTACTAAATGACAGAAGTGGGCAGGAAGTGACTTGGCTGATAATTTGAGATTACACCTGTAAAAATGAATTCTCCTTGGATTTTCTCCACCATCAATGGCAAATAGGAAAAACTTCCATAGAGCAGCTCCTTAATTGCTTTACTCAGAGCACAACTGGATTCCCAGTCCTCTTCAAAAGTAACAAGAAGGGTATGGATCATCAGCCTTTGTGAATCGACTTTTTTGCCCAAGATCCAGCAGAGTTTTTACCGATTAATATGATAACTGATATATTAATGATAGATAAATGGATTTCAAAGTGCTCCACAGCCCAGGGGAATGACATCAACAGGTTTTTTTTTGCACTTTCTGTTTCCAGCTACATTTGTGCCAGCTGGAGCAATTATATTTTGGCCAATATAGAATATTAGAATCACAGAACTGTAGGTGTTGGAAGGGACCTCTGGAGATCCTCAGTCCAACCCTCTGTAAAGCAATTCCCTTAAGGAGGTTGCATGGGTTGGTGTCCAGATGGGTCTTGAATATCTCCAGAGAAGGAGATTTCACCACCTCTTTGGACAACCTGTGCCAGTGCTGTCACCCTCACAGTGAAGTTTTTTTTCACATTCATATGGAATTTCCTATGTTCCAGTTTATGCCCATTGCCCTTTGTTCTATCATTGGGCAGTGGTGAGAAGAGCCTGGCCCCATCCATTTGATCCCCACCCTTCAGATACTGATCAGAACTGATCAAATCCCTCTCAACCTTCTCTAGGTGCACAGCACCAGGGCTCTCAGCCTGTCCTGTCATCAGGAGATGCTCCATGTCCCTACTATCTTTGCAGCCCTCCGCTGGCTCCACAGGCCTCTTTCCAGCAGTTCCCTGTCTGCCTGAAACTGGGGAGCCCAGCTCCAGATGTGGCCTCCCAAGCAGAGCAGAGGGGAGAATCACCTTCCTTGTCCTGCTGGCTGTGCTCTGTGTAATGCCTGCCAGGAACCATGGACCTTCTTGGCCACCAGGGCACACTGCTGGCTCATGGTCAACCACTGGTCAATGCTTGGTCAACTGTTGGTCAACCATTGGTCAACCAGGGTACCAATGGCCTTCTTGCCACCAGGGCACATTGCTGATTTATGGTAAACTATTGGCCCCCTGCATGCCCACATCTTTCTCTTTTTGACACTATCAGTATCAGCATTCCCTTTTAAAATTCACTAACTGTTTTATTTTTCTCACTTTCCACAGTCATTGGATAGTTAGTGTAAAACTCCTAGCAGCAAGAAACATTTTTCTAATTTCCAAATTGAAATAGCTCATGGCTTTTGCTCTTGTTCAAACTAGTCTTGCCTCCAGATCATTTCACACTTCCTTAAATACAAACAGCTTTATTTCACATAAAGTCATAGAGTCATAGAATGGTTTGGGTTGACTCAAAAGTCATCTGATTCCAACCCCCCTGCTGTGGGCAGGGTTACCAACCACTACATCAGACTGACTGCTCAGGAACTCATCAAGCCTGTTGGTTTAGATTATTTCTCAGTAGTGTTTGGAGATAATTGCTTGTGGCAGTAGTAATCAATTAGTGGAGATTTCAGAGTCCTGAATCGACTGTTTATAAAGTGTCAGTGGAGGATCATTAAGGAATATAAATTCATACGTTATATATAGGAATGGAAGTTTGTAAGGTTTCTGAAGGACTTTTGTCTTACCCGTGATTATTTAAAGGCTCCCACAGACCAAAAAAAGATTGAAAACCTGCTGAAAGCTGATGGTGAGTTGTTATGAGCTTTCTTCAAATCTGCATGACTGTACTGAGTTTCTCAGCTTTCTGCATTCAGTCTGTGATGAACTCTTCAGTGCCTCCCATTGAACGTATACTCTGAAAAACAGTGGTGGAGAAGAGCTGGCAAGGAGAGCATGACTACTGTTAATCATCTCTAATCACAAGGAGTATTAAATCCTTTTATTCAACAAATTAAACTTTTCCTCCCCACTTTGAGTGCGTGGTTTCATGTTACTAAAACTCTCTTTTCCAGTCTTGAGGTTTGATCATATGAACAAAGCTTTAGAAGAAATTAGGGCATACAAAATCATTTGCTCTCTGATTGTGGTCATGTGATATGCATTTCTGTGTCCATGAAAGAAAATAAATCATGGTATAGAGTACACAGGCAGTGAAAAAAGACTTTTTAGGAGTCGGGCACGTGCAGCCTGTTCAGATTTGTATTTAAGAGTAATGTTGGGAAGATACAGAGTGTGAGATAACAGTTAATGATGATCTGATGGTAAACTCCGTACATATCTAGTAGTAATAAACTACATTTGGCTAAATACACATTGTACTTTGTGTATGGAAACTCACCAGCAGAGCTTAAACAATGTCTTGAACCTTGTGATCCTTTCACTTTCTTATGATTAATATCACAAATTCCCATCAGCTTTCTTTTGGGGGATTCATCCACATGAAGAATTACTGTGTGACATGACAATGTGTGACACTCTCCAGTATCCGAAATGTCTTAGACTTCTGGAATTTGCCTTTTCTGAGGGATTTTGTCCTTGCAGAAAAGTCTGAAGAGGCCTTTGTATACCAATATAAGCTGTAAAAACAAATACTTATCATGTTCATTCTTATCCCCTTCTTTTTGTCAATTTAGTGGCAACAAAATATCCCACAGCTCTGAGATCTTGGGAAGTTGTATTTTGGCTTTTGTCTGTGTCAAGGTACAAACATACTGGCCTGTTGGGTCTAATACTTATCTTTTTTGGGGGGGTCAAAACTGGTTTAACTGGTAATGGGGTCTGGGGTTATACAGCTTTGTTATGAGGTGGAAAAACATTTATCAATTGCTGGTTTCTAACATTTTTTTTTGTGTTCAGAGAAATTGTTTTTAACATGTAAACTGCTGTAGATGACACAATAAATGTATTATCATTTTGTATAAGTCCGTTCTGATATAAAATCACATCAAAGAGAACTTTTTGGAATCATGGAGAAGGAGTCTCTGGATTCTGCTTGGCAAAGTCAGTCCTAGAGTAACCAATCATGAAGTCTTTACTGTTGGTGGTCCGTGCATGTTTTTCCTTCACCATCAATTAGTGGAGTTGTGCTGGGAGGATGTTTAATTCACTATGTAAATATCAAGGATGGATATAGTCTAATATGGCCAAAAAGTGAATGCAACACACTATCTGTTATACCTAGTAATCTCTGAGGTTCTAAAATGTAAACCACAGATCCTTTGGGGCCTGTGTATTATTTCTAAAGCGTTAAAGCAAGAAAAGAAAAACTCATCAGTGAGCAGTAGGGTCCATCACAGCCCCTGTGATGGAACAAGG